CAACCCGGTTAAAGCGCCGGACATTGACATTTCGTCCTCTGAATTTCGTAAACAACAGTAACGCCGCGAGAAGGTAGTGAGTAGAAATTCTCAGGCAGTGGTTGTTTGCATGTGGCCATGTGTGAGCATTTCGAAAGGGTGAGCTGAATCTTCCTACCCTCGGTCGTACCAGGGCATTTGGGGGCGAAGATATCATCAGTCAATCGGTTGATATCTAATAAATACTCTTTAATGAATCATTAAGTTAAGAAAATTACTGAATCAGCGAGGAGCTACTTGAAAGTAAATAAAAAGAATTACAATACAAATTAGAAACTATCATATTTTATGGAAGGATGATTAAATTTTTTTTAATCGATAAAAATTTATTACAATATCTACTAGATAAAGGCTTATGATGGGAGTCACAAGATTTCTAGTCCAGTGATATACTACTTTCCCTAACAAACCTAATCAATTGACCTAATTTAGTTACATTTAGATCAACCATAGTGATTGATTAAGATAAAAATGTGTCAGTCTACGAGTAGGATATATATTGACGTCATATGTTTAGTTTTCATACAATCGAAAAGACACAATGGTACAACATATAAGTGATTATATAATCAATGAAGCCAGTATCTCAACATAGTGTATGAAATGTTCAGTCACTTAGACGAATGAATACACTGTAACTTAATCTATAGATATTCAAACACTACTAAAAAACCAAATATACACGATCTTAGTTACTACACACTGATCAGTTAACTTGAAAATCTCATTCTTGTAGGAAGTCAGTTTTGTCCGAAACAGCTCAGAGATAACATCTCAGACTGTGGAAACTGCAAGACCCAAGCTCAAATCTCATCAGCACCACAAATTCTTTCAAGATTGTAAGTGAAAGTTACTAACGAGTGCCAACTAGCACAAAGCGTAAGTTTAAAATTTTCTGCCAACTACTTGTAGCCACGTAACAATCATAATTCTAAAATTTGTTAAAATTACTTAAACATTATTTGATAGGTAACGTAGACAACTTTTAAGTAATAAATTTAGTTTATAATACAGTATGGAACATGTGAATTTTGACAGTGAAAATATTCAAAATACTAAGATTGAAAGTTAGATTCACATTCTACGTTTATTGACTTGGAATAATCGGTCATTCTTCACGACAACAAAAAAACACCTCCGGATTCCGGGACGAGTACTTGTTTTATGTATGTAACTTATCCTTTGAAGTAAAGTTCCTTTCGTGTTTCCATTTGACGTTTAAGATTCAAAATAATATGTGCGTCTACGAAGGAGCTGAAATGTAAGTATTTAAAGGGTTAAAAGTGTAAGTGTTATATTCTAGCGAAGATTAAATTACGAGTAACTTCTGAGAACTATTAGTGGACTAATATTATCTATATATTCTTATTGTATAATTATTCAGTAAATAGATCGTGTATAACTATATTCATCTTATTATAAGCTTCATTTTGATATATGGACTATTATTATACGATTTACTGTTCTTAAGTTATGTTCAGTCTATTATTTACAGTCTCCCACAATCACAACCACTTTTTGGCTTGATCTTGTATAAATATTATTTATGGTGTAGTGTAGTCTGTTTGACTGGTATATAAACCAAGTATGTTTTGAAATAGATGATTCGCATGGTAGAAGCTGTTATCGGCGTTTTGGACTCAAGTGAACGGGCTAGGCGGACAAAGAATTAATAGGGACTCTAGGCTGTTCATACCTGTCGAACGTCATTGGTTTGGCACAGTGCTACGATTGTATAAGTCGTATTTCGATTGGCGGATAAATCACATGATAACTAACCGGGCCTAAAGTCACAATAGTAAACCTTAATACTACTTCTAAGTAGAACTAAGCTCAATTTGTAGAACTGATGAGTGTGAAATAACACGAAACCCATGTCCAGGATTTATTGTCGATTGCCTTCACATTCAACACCTTACATCTCAACATGGAGTCACTTAGACTAGTGGTCATATTGCTGCTTGATCGATAGAATTATATCAGCAGTAAAGAAGGATGTGATGTTCATGAAACTGGTCACCACTTAGTGACCAATAAATCGTCAACTAATATATATCTTAAAAGGTAATTTAACGGTTTATTAGTAGTATGAACAGGAAGACAAACGTATTGTTCGTTTCTATGATTTTAAATTTCTACCTCTAATCAATCATTTATTATCTAATTTTAAAGAATCAAGTTGTCTACATAGTTGTAACACTTAGAGTACTTCATTATTTAGTCCAAAGAATGAATAAATTTTATTAAAACGTAGATAAAATTTTAATACTGATATATACCCCAATCGGTTTAAGACATGCTAATCAGTTTAATCATTGGTAATTGACGTGGACAGATAAATAAAGAGGCCATGACAAACAACGGAAGCTATTCTTTGGACGTTATTTCACCCCAACCGTTGTCGCTACCTTGACGTGGTGGTCGGGCTTGAATATCGTGTTCAACCAATCGGATTATACTGGCTGAAACAATCGCTCCTCAAGGTACTACCATGACAGACAAGTCGGTTGAAGAACGGTAAGACTAGGAGAAGCAAACCCAGTATCCGAAGGCGAAGTCGTACTGTTGACTGTACAGAGGTGTGACAGCAGTAAGGTGTTTCTTTCAGACAACCAGCATGACAGCGATGCTGCCTTCCCACAAGGAGGGGTGGGGTTAGAAAAGGTCGACCCTAAAAATGCACACAGATAATCGTCTCTGGCGGTGAGGTCTCAACAAGTACGGAGCTAACATTAAAACTGCTCACAAAAAGGTCTTGTGTGACCGACCTCAATCAGCCGTCCCTTGGGCGCTGAGTTCACGCTCTTAGGTCACTAAGACCACCTGTAATCCAATTTCGTTTTCAAGTACCTCCAGAAGAACCCTTCTTAGATGTGGGCAACCTGGAATTGATAACTACCCTCATACATCTAACAGCACACATGACCACTGACTGACGTCTCTTCATTTAGTTCAAAGCTTGGTAAATAATGACATTTAGTCTTTTCCATAGGTTTTTCTATAAACCATAGGTTTTCGTTCGATGTATGATTCACTGCCAAACTCTTTTCTGTCCAAAACTATTCTAATTTAAATGTAACATTTAATACTCTATTTTCTACACTAATTCCCAGTTTGGACTTGATTTTATTTTTCTAATTATTTGTACGTCATGGTCATGTTAATCATCTTTTACACAAATCTGAGCCGGGCTTCAGGATAAATCGAGTGGTGTTCCAGATGACTCGTCTTCTCCTTCTGTGTCTTTCTCTCGCTTGTTAACCAACCAGGTGATAGGATAGTTTTCGTCTCTCTGATCAAGGTCGTTGGTCTGGATCCGGATTCCCAAGTTTCTGACCTCAAGCTTAAACCGACTAGCCTCTTGTGTCAAGGCCTTAATCTAGATCTAGACACGTTCTCTCTTGTATATTATTGGGTGTACAGATCAAGAACGAACAGTAATATAGTGTTGCTAATTCCTACAAATCAAATGAACTTAGTTGTTTATAAGACTGAGAAATTATGAAGAATAATTCTGACAAATCATTTCAACTGATAATCGAAACAAAAAAGTGCGAGAAAATACTTTACAAGTATTTTACATTGAATCTTTATCTAAACTAATCATCCAGTAATCGGAAATCTATGGTAATATGAAAATATGAATGCTATACGAGGTATAGAAAAAGAACAACCGAAAACAGAAACAAACTAAGAATACACTATTTTATGAAATAAATTTATCTCAAATACATCATGAATGAAGTGTGCTATAGCCTAAAGCTAATATCGTCACTGTGAGATCGACACTCATGAATTCGGACCTTGGTCACTTCAAGAGAGTTTTGAGACTAGACTAAAACGTTTGTTTAGTTTTCCGTGGTTGTCAGTGATTATCTTACTGAAATCAGTCTGTAATCAATGGTGATAGTTGACAGTTATTATAAATGTGATCTATGAAGTTTGTATATTGAAGGAAGTAATATTCCTCATCGGATTCGATAGTGAATCACCTAGTTTCATAGACTGAAACTTTTTTCGTAGACTATACTTGATACAAATGACCTCCCATGTGGTTAGAATATTAATGAGTGAATAGTAACGAATATCATGTTTGTCTAATCCTTTAGTAATGATTAGATTACATTGATTAAATTGAAATGTCACCATTAGTTTGAATGACTGGACACCATGTTTACTACATTGAGATAATTGATCGATAGAAGTTGAAAAATATTTTTTTTATTTTAGAAAACTAGAAAAATATTATATTGATCATTATTCAGTGGTTATTTAAGTGTCAACTCTTTTTTGTATGGATTTTGCTTTCAATCTTCTGCATCATTCGCTTCAATAACTCTACATAATAATTGTAGTAAATAATATAATTAATAAACATTAATTACTGTATATTAATAGAAGGTATTATATATATTCATTTTAATAGTTGAGATCATGAGTCAATTGAAGCTAGACCACTATGGAAGACTGGAAAGCACTGGACACCTGTTTCGTCCTACTGTAGGATTCCTCAGCAATGCTGATCCACGATCTTTTTGACGGGGGTTTGTTTTCTGAGCTGGATGGTTTGGTCATGGAGCTTTCAATGTTCTTCTGAACGATATCATCAGCACAAACTTCAGCACCCATGATCTCACCTTACGAGATTCGAATTCAGAACCTATCGGTCTTGCGCGCGAACGCTTAACCTATAGAACACTGAAACGGCATCCAATTGTGGTCTAGAGTTAAAGCGTTCGCACGCGAGACCGATGGGTTCTGAATTCTAATCTCGCGAGGTGAAATCATGGATAAGCACTGATGAAGAGTCCCATACTAGGACGAAACAGCTGTCCAGTGCTTTCAGATTTTCCATGATGGTCTAGCATCAAATGACTCATGATCTCAACTATTGAAATGACCACATTCTTCACAAATCCCCTTCTGATATATATATTTATTTATTTACTCATATTTTATAGAAATGATTCCTGTAGATATACAATATCACCATTATAAAAAACATCCATGTGATTATATTGTACAAACTAATTACATAACAAATAAAACCAATGATTCAATTAATAAATCAATGAATAATCCAATACAAGATAATGCAATTAATTCAACTGGTAAATTTAAATTATTCTCAATGATCAATTTGTCAAATTCTAAAATCTTAAAATCATGTAAAACTGAAAAATTTCGTATAAATTTAATCTTACGATTACGTAGTATATGGTCACGTTCATCATTGAAATCTCAACGAATTGAATCGAAACATATTCATATGTCTTTTATAAATTATGATCATAATCATAATCATAATCATCATCATTATAATCCCCGTCAACATCATCATCATCATCATCGTCATCATCAGAAGCAAAAGCAGTATCATCATCAACATCAACAAAATTGTCCATGTCAATCTCAATCTACTCATGATCCATTGAATAATCCATTAAAAGTAGAAAGATTAGATACAGGACAAATGATTGACTATTCAAAGCAACCTAATGATAATATACAAATATTATTATCTCGGAAATATCATTCTGAGAGTTGTTTATTTTATCCTTATAATATGCATAATTATATACATAAATGTTCACATATTCATTATCATTATGATTATAATCCATGTTCAAAATCAATTCATAATCAAATAAGGAATGAGAACAATAAACTTTCATGTCAATTATCTAACATAAAATTACAATCATCATATATTAAACATTCTTTAACAACCGGTAATATATGTTGTTTATATACATTAAATTGTGTACCATCACTTGAATGTATAACTCAACCAATATCATCAACAACATCAGAGTTAATGTCATTGTCATCAGCATCATCATCATCACCATCATCAACATCAGCGTCAACATCAGCATCATCATCATCATCATTATCACATCGACAACAACAATTCAATCAAACAGATTATAAATGTTCCAATTTACCAAGCACATCAATTATGTTAAATACAAGAAATAAATGGAAATTAATATCACCATTTGAAAAACTTAAATATCATCCATTCTATAAAGATACACATTGTCATTTAGGTAAATGGATACAACAAACCTTAACAAGTAATGAGATGGATAATAAAGATCAAGATAATAATAATGATAATAATAATAATAATAATAATAATAATAATAATAATAATAATATGAATTATGAGAATGAATTAGACAATGAAACCATGAATAAGAATCATTCTAATAATAATAATAATAATCAGTTTATAGATATTACAAATTATCTAAATTATAATAGATTATCGGATACTTTCAAACATGTACATTTTGCTGATGAATCCACTTATTCCTCTTTAACAACATTAAATTCATTATCAAGATCATCATCATTAGGTTCATGCAATTATACTAATGATTCATCATCACCTAAAACATCTTATGCATCAAATCAATCTCCTATAGATAGTATAATAATGAATGATAAATATACAATAAAACATTCATTGAAACGTACTATATCTAATCCTAAAATGAATTCAAATAAAAATAAAACACCATTAGTAACAGTGAATTTATTTCATGATGATGGAGAATTATCAGAATTACCTCTACGTGTAGTCGATCGATTGGAAACAGAGAAAGTAAGCTTCTAGTATGTACATAAATTACTTATGCCTACTATTTCTCATGGGCCCCAAAATGCCCTGATACAGCCGAGAATGGGGAGAATCCGCTTCCCCTTGAAAAATGCTCTCACATTGCCACGCGTATCTGCCAGGGAAGTCATACTCACTGCCTTCTCGTGGCAGGGGTGTTGTTTACGAAACTGAGAGAATGAAACGTTAATGTCCGGCACTTTAACCGGGTTGGTGGATACGGAGAGTCCACCTAGGGGAGTTGGAAAACTCTGATTCCAAACCAATGGTGCACATGGGCTCCAATATCCTCAAGCAACAAATGACGTATAAACCAATTATTAATCTCCTGATTTCGCTCCACTGCTTTGTGGATCAGACCTTTAGGTCGAAGGCTCCGGGTGTGGAAACCACCTGCTTCGGTTTGCGCACCCGGATAGTATCACAGCCTTCACACATATCAAATGAGATTTGTGTGGCGTATATTTATTTGGTGCCTCCTTATACCAATATCTATGTGTTAAAATAAAAATAAAAAAATCTCTCATGGAGTAGCATAGGCTGCTCACCAACCATGTTTACCCAACTCTGTCTTGATCACTTCTTTCTAGTTGGTTCCAGTTGTTATTCATCTTTTTCATATCTGCTTCTAATTGTCAGAGCAATGTGTTCTTTGGCCTTGTTCTTTTCCACTTCCTATCAGGATTCCATGAAGCAGTTTGTTAATTTCCTAAATGTGTGTCCTATCCACTTCCATCGTCTTTTCCTAATTTCCTTCTCAGATGAAATTTGGTTTGTTCTTTCCTATAGTAGGTTGGTGCTGATAGTATCTGGTCAACGGACATTCATTATTTTACGTAGACAACTGTTTATAAATACCTGTGCCTTTTTGATGATAGTGATGGTAATTCTCGAAATTTCAACTTCGTACAGTAGAATTATGTTGACGTCCTATTGAAGATTGTGACTTTGATATTGGTTGACAGTTGTTTTGAGTTCCATATGTTCTTCAACTGTAGGAATGCTGTCCTTTCTTTGCCAATCCTTGCCTTTACGTCTGCATCCGATCCTCCTTGTTCATTGATAATGCTACACAGATACGTGAAAGCTTCCAGCTCTACCAGAGCTTCTCCCTCAAGTGTATCTGGGTTGGTGTTCTCCTTGTTGTATTTGAGGACATTGATTTTTCCCTTATGTATGTTGAGGCCTATTGTTGGAGAGGCCGCTGCTATACTGGTTGTCATCATCTGCATTTTCTCTTGTGTATGTGATAGAATAGCTAGGTCATCTGCGAAGTCCAAATCTTCTCATTGATTCTGAGCTGTCCATTGTATTCTGTGCTTTCCCTCCGATGTGGGGGTCTCCACAGTCCAGCCAGCTACGAGAAGAAAGATAAAGAGAGACAGTGGGCAGCCTTATCTGACTTCGGTTCTCACTTGCACTACATCTATCAGCTGTCCTCCATGCAACATGTGTTACGTATGCCCAACCACCAACTGCCTCGACGTGCGATGTTCAATGGTATAGGAGTAGATTTGGAGAAAGCTAGGGGCGGCCAGACCAAAACATGGCACAAATCCATGAAGTCACTGACAAGTGGACTGAGCCATGTTGTTAGGTGCAGACTATCTGCTTGGGATCCGCGAGACGATAGCAATCGATGGTTAGAGACCTTGGATGACATGGCTCAAAATTGTTTGCAATGGTGCATGTGCATCCGTTCTTTGTGTTCTCCCGAATTCTAAACTTAATTCTGCATGTGCCTTTTTGTCTCTTTCCAAATTTATTTCACTGAATTATACTCCTTGAGTAACATCTTCAAACCCTAATCTTTCCGATTACTGCTTATACTCTTACTACCTCTACCACTATGGGATTTGAATCGACAACTGCATCTCTGTGCTAATGTGGTATGAAAACTCGAACTGATGTACGTACGTACGAAGTTCTGCTTTGTTACTGACTAAGTATAGTTCGTCATATGAATTCCATATGATGTGGACTATTTTCTCAGGTACACCATAGTATATATATCCACGATCCGGCCTCGCGAGACTCGAACCCTTGACACATCCACGATTGTCTTCAGTGAGTTATTATCTCAAAACAGACCCGGTTGAACTCTACTGATCACTGCTTTTCACTACAACTTTAGGAAATACCTCTTGAGGCCAGTCACTAGTGAGCATATGTTGATTAGTCCTAGAAGGGGTTTCTGTGGATAATATAATATATTTCGTAGTTGAATTCATGAATCAATTGAAGCTGGATCACCATAGAAAACCTGGGATTCTTATCAAGCAACTCAAAATACATTGTGTAATATTTTTCATAGGATGTGTTTTTAGTGTAAAATTTGCTACCAAAAATTAAAAAAAGTTTTGTATTTAAAACAAAAGGGATTAAAGTACATCTCTATATGATGTTACACAATATGTGTTTAGGTATGTTTGTGTGTGTGTGCGTCACGTTTTTTTTTCACATCAAATGACAATAACTATCGGAAGTTCATGTAGTGTTATATGTATTTTCATTGTTTTATTGTATACAATAAACAAACTGAATAACTAAATAAAGACTATTGAATAGACTACTGAAGTTTCTAAGAAATTTTATCATATTTTTAAGAAATAAAGATTTTTTTCTGGTTAGCGTTTTGTTTAGCGAGTCAGTTTTCGACGAGATGAGGTCGCTAACCCCATGCCCAACCCTCCCCCCTTATCCGGGCTTGGGACCGGCTGTAGCCACAGAGGGGCCCCAGGCGGAGTTAAAAAATTGTTGGGATATTCATAAAAATATCCCAAAAATTATCCTATTAAGTCTGATGCTATTCTTGGACTTGAGATGGTATCATTTCCCTACTGGTCAATACTTATTTCACGTGTCAAATGTTATTTTCTATTTTATGGTACGATGTAGTCTGATTGATTAGTATATAAACAGAGTATGCTTTAAATATAGCGATTCATATCTCAGAGGCTGAGACTTACGTTCTGGACTCAACTGGCTGGGCTAGACAGGGAACCGGGGCCAACGAGAACTCTAGGCCGTTCTTACGTGTTTACTCGTCTTTGGTCCGATCGATAATACGCTGCCATCTAATCTGCAGACACAGTTATAACAGAAATAAAGATATCTAAAAAAATATTTTAGTAAGAAATACTTTAGGTACTAAACTAGTACTAATAAGTTGATTTCTAGATGACAATTATTGTTTATTAACCTAAAATAAAATATCATTGAAAACCAAAAAAAGAAGAAATTGAATGGCTATTTTTTGTTCACATGACATAATTATTAACAATACCCGACTATGACCACTCACGGCGGCCTGCTTGAGCATCTGGGCTACCTGTTCCTGTCATCTAAATATTTCAACAAGTTATCTATTTTTGTTTGTTTTAATGTATCGTTATGTCTATTAATCGCATAACCTATTCTGCTGCGTTTCTGAAAAGTGTACAACCTTTCGTTGTCAAAGTTACAAAAAGCTCAATAAGAGATAATGTGGTCGCTGGTAATATGCAGAGAAAAGAATATACATTATTCAGATGTTTATTTACTGGACTGCTAACATCTAACTGGCTATCACTCAATATTTATCGTCAGGATCGACCCAGAAGAAAGAAACGGAAACTTGTTGAAATACTTTGTGCTGAGAATTCTATATTGTACCGAAAATATAATATTGAATAAAGCTTATAATAATAATAATAATAATAAGAAGAAGAAGAATCAATCACAGAAAATTTCGGTTTTACACCAAATCGTTAACCAATAAGCCATCAGGACATCAATTAGTCCTCAAGATCATCCAATATCACTGGTTCATATTGGTCCGTCCTCCTAAAACGTCTGAATCTTACAAGCCACAACTTTCTATTAGAACCTTAAGAATTCATTATGAAGTATGCAAAAATTAAGTCAATTTAATAGTTTTGTTAGAGTGCTTTTACATAGATAAGTTGGCTTTAGATGTGCGATTTACTAGAGATTGTCTTGAAGATCCTCGTTCCAACTACTGGCCAAGTTATGGATGCACACGACTGAGGGACCGCGTAACCAGTTGTAACAGTTGTTCTGTCCTCCCTGGTTTTAACGCTACTTCAACTAAAATTACTACGCGATGAATCCTACCCACAAATTAAGAATAATTTTCACACAAGTACTCCATCCAAATGAAGAAATATTTTAAATATAATATTAACAATAGAAGCTGAGAGATTCGATCATAGCAATATGTTCACTATTATTTATTCAACTAAGAGTTTAAATACTTCAAATAATCCATCATGTTTACAATTAAATATATTGAAAGAATTTTACCCTGTTTTACTGTGTTGTGTAGTAACAACTCAGTAGAAGTAGTTCATTTTCATTACCAAAATAATTAAAAAACAGGGAGACCTGTTGAAAGTTAAAAACTGATTAACTGAGACCAGTAGTCATATTTCAAACTTGATTAGAAACAGTATCGACAATCAGAGACAAGTATGATATTGGCCACTACTTAGTAATCCATTAATACAAAGTTTAAGTTACTTAGTTATTAGTAAACTAACTGTTGGGAAGACCCAGAAAAAGGTCCTAAAAACGTTGAGAAACACTACACAATTAGCATTGAATAGAGGTTTCTCGGAAACATCTAGAAAGTGAGGAGTCAAGTGTCACATTTCTGAATGGGTGATCACCTATTCTGCTACTATGTTTAATAGGGCTCCAGAACCCTCTAGAAATCCAAGGTAGTCTGAAATGCTATAAATACTCTAAAGTTTCTGTACATAAACTAACCTTGGATTAAACTTGAATTAATTTGATTTGGTTATTTATTCTCTGAAGAAGTAGCTTACACTAAGTCACGAAACGTCAGAAAATCTAATTTTTCTACTCATCGGGATATTACAAATATATTATTTATTCATAACAATCTACCCAATGCTCAATTTATTCGAAATTATCAAGTCAAATCTTGATAATGATACATACTTGGAGTGAAGTGTTCTTCC